AAGGAAGTGGATAACAAAGTAAGGATGCCCCAGCCCGACGACCCTAAGCCAACCACACAGCCCAAAGAAGCAGGGGAGAATGTGAAGAGCAAGGAAGCCAATGTAGAGAAGCCGACAGACGGCTCGATGCTGCACAAGTCTCCAAATCCTTACAAACCACGCATCCCTTTTCCAAGCCGACTTCGAGACGAGAAGCAAGAACAACAATTCCGAGATCTTTACACTATGCTCTCGAAAGTCAACGTGAACTTGCCCCTCTTAGATGTGATCAAGAATATGCCCTCATATGTGAAGTTCTTCAAAGACTTGGTCACAAAGAAGAGAAAGTTCGGCGATGGGGAGAAAGTGGTGGTCTATGAGGCGGCAAGTGCAATGCAGCATGACTTACCTAAGAAGGAACGAGATCCTGGGGGCTTCGTGATCAAAATAGCCCTCGGGAACGGGAAGGAAGCTTCGGGGATGCTTCACCTCGGAGCGAGAATCAATCTTATGCCGTTTTCTATCTTCCAGCGGCTCGGTCTAGGAGATTTGAGATCAACCCGTATGTGCCTTCAACTTGTGACCGTTCCATTCGATACCCTAAGGGAGTGGTGGAAGATGTTCTTGTTCGTGTGGGAAAACTCATCGTCTCGGTGGACTTTGTAGTGCTCGATGTGGGAGACGTTCACGAGAATGGGAAGGACCATACCATCCTTCTCGGCAGGCCGTTTATGGCCACCACCAACACCCTCATTGATGTCAAGAACGGGACCTTGAACATGACGGTCCTAGGCGAGTCCGTGTCTATCTCTGTCCGAGAGGCCACATCTGGCCCTTCGGCGAATTATGTGGAGGAATGCGCCTTTATTGATGCGAGTGACCCGTTTGTGGAGGAGATTGCTGTTCGAGAGTTGGAAGAGAGGTTTATGCCCGATCTCGAAGAGGAAGAAGGACCGTTTATTGAACTGATGGAGGTCGAAAAACCGAGATCGAAGGCCCCACCAATGCTAGAGTTGAAAGAGTTGCCTCGTCACCTCAAGTACATTTTCCTCGATGATGAGAAACAAAAGTCGGTTATCATATTTGCCGAGCTTAATCAAGACGAAGAGAAGGAGCTGATCGAGGTGCTTAAGAAGAATCAAAAGGCCATCGGTTGGGGCCTAGGAGACATTAAGGGCATCAGCCCTTCGACGTGTATGCACCGGATCACTTTGGAAGAGGGTGCCAAGCCATTTCGGGATAGCCAGCGGCGGCTCAACCCGAACATGATGGAAGTAGTGAAAAAGGAAGTGCTGAAGCTATACTCCGAGGGGCTCATTTATCCAGTGGCTGACAGTGAGTGGGTCAGTCCCATCCATGTGGTGCCGAAGAAAGGGGGCATCACGGTGATCGAGAATGAGAAGAAAAAGATGGTCCCCACCCGTATCACTACCGGATGGCGAATGTGCATTGACTACTAGCGACTCAACGCCGTAACAAAGAAGGACCATTTTCCGTTGCCGTTCATTGATCAAATTCTCGATCGTCTCTCGGGCCACCAGTTCTATTGTTTCCTCGACGGTCTTTCGGGCTACTACCAAGTGGCCATAGCTCCAGAGGATCAGCCCAAGACAACCTTCACTTGCCCATTCGACACATTTGCTTTCAGAAGGATGCCTTTCGGCCTTTGCAATGCTCCCGGTACCTTCCAACGGTGCATGTTCTCCATTTTCTCCGACATGCTCGAGGATTGCTTACAGGTATTCATGGATGACTTTTCAATCTTTGGCACTTCATTTCTAATTGTCTCCATAATTTGTCTCGTGTCCTCGAGAGGTGTATTGAGTCTAACTTGACATTGAGTTGGGAGAAAAGTCACTTTATGGTCACAAGTGGAGTTGTGTTGGGTCATGTGATATCTAGTCGTGGAATTGAAGTTGATAAGGCAAAAATTGATGTGATTGAGAAACTCTCCCCTCCTGTAAATGTTAAGGGAGTTAGAAGTTTTTTGGGTCATGCTGGCTTTTATAGGAGATTTATTAAAGATTTTTCAAAAATCAGCCAGCCTTTGTGTCATTTGCTTGCTAATGATGTGCCATTTGTGTTTGATAATGCATGTGTTGAGTCTTTTGATAAATTGAAAAATAAGCTTGTGACTTCCCCTATTGTGATTGCACCTGACTGGTCTTTGCCCTTTGAGATTATGTGTGATGCATCGAACCTTGCTGTGGGAGCCGTTTTGGGCCAACGAGTTGATAAATTGCTTCGTGTAATTTATTATGCTAGCTTGACCCTAAATGGTGCCCAATTGAATTACACAACCACTGAAAAAGAGCTATTAGCTGTTGTGTTTTCCCTTGAAAAATTTAGATCCTACATCTTGGGGTCTAAAGTGATTGTACATTATGATCATGCAGCTCTTAGGTACCTTTTGAGTAAAACTCTAGGTGGATTTCGCTTTTGCAAGAGTTTGATGTAGAAATTCGATATAGAAAAGGGTGTGAAAATGTTGTAGCGGATCACTTGTCTCGCATTGTTCCCTCGGACCCTTCACTTGCATTGAATAAGCATGTAGGCATTAATCATGATTTTCCATATGAGCATGTGAATGAAGTGGTTACTGTGCCTTGGTATGCAGACATCGTAAACTATTTGTCAGATGGAGTCTTGTTGTCTAACCTCTCTTCCCAAGAGAGGAAACGTTTTGTATTGACGTGCAGGAGCTACTTTTGGAATGACCCAATCCTTTTCAAGATGGGAAAGGACGAGATTCTTCGGAGGTGTGTGCCCGAAGAAGAGCAACATGATGTCTTGGCCTTTTGTCACGAGCTTCAATATGGAGGACACTTTGGGGGTCGAAAGACCGCTTTCAAAGTCCTCCAATCAGGTTTATTTTGGCCAACTCTTTTTAAAGATGCTTATAACTTTTGCAAATCTTGTGACCGCTGCCAAAGAATTGGGAATATTGGCCCAAGGATTGAGATACCCCTTGTGAGCAATTTACAAGTTGAGATTTTTTATGTTTGGGGTATCGATTTCATGGGACCGTTTCCCAAATATTTTGGCTTTGAGTATATCCTTCTTGCTGTAGATTACGTGTCCAAGTGGGTCGAGGCTATCACCACACGGACATGTGATGCTAATGTGGTTATCAAGTTCTTGCAGAGTAATATCTTGAGCAGGTTCGGTTTCCCACGGGCCATTATAAGTGATGGGGGCAAGCATTTTTGCAACCGACTCTTCGAAAAGTTAATGAAAAAGTATGGCATTTCACATAGAGTGGCCACCCCATACCATCCACAGACCTCGGGCCAAGCAGAGACGAGCAACAAGCAAATAAAGACAATTCTCGAGAAGACGGTGAACTCGTCTCGGAAAGATTGGTCAAACCGGCTCGATGATGCACTTTGGGTCCAACGCACAGCGTATAAGGGAGTTTTGGGGATGAGCCCGTTCCGGCTTGTCTATGGAAAGGCGTGCCACCTTCCAGTCGAGATCGAGCACAAGGCATTTTGGGCCATTAAGAAAATGAATTTTGATCTTGATGCCGTCGGGAAAGAAAGGATGTTGCAACTCTCGGAGCTTGAAGAGTTGAGGGATGAAGCGTACGAGAACTCAAAAATTTACAAGGAAAAGACCAAGAGGCTTCACGATTCATCCATTGTCCGGAAAACTCTTGTGCCCGGCATGAAGGTACTCTTATTCAACTCTCGTCTTAGACTTTTTCCGGGGAAGTTGAAGTCCCGTTGGAGCGGACCCTACGTCATCGATGAAGTGCTATCCCTAGGAGCCATCCGACTCCGAAATCCGGCGAATGGAGAAGTAGTCAATGGGCAAAGGGTAAAGCCATACTACGATGGAGAGTTTGGAAAACACCATGTCGAGACCCTTAGTCTCGACGAACCCCCGTATCCTTGATCGAATTTATGCCGATCTCCCGGCTTAAAACCGAGCGATTTATTGTACTATATGTATTTTTACCTATTTATATTTTATTTATAGATATATATTTCAGTTCCTTTCTCTCATTTAAAAAATAAATAAATAAATAAATAAAAAATGGTGAACTAGCAGGTACTAGCGCCGCTATGTCCATAGCGGCGCTATACAAGTCTTTCAAAGAGGCGTTTTGGCGTTAGCGAGCCCATAGCGATGGTCAGAAGAATTTCGAACTAGCAGGCACTAGCGCCGCTATGACCATAGCGGCGCTATGGGAGATATTGAAGCGGCGGTTTGGAGAAGCGAGGCCATAACGACCTTCAGCCGAAAATTATCATTTCAGCCATAGGGGCGCTATCCCCATAGCGCCGCTATGCCCCCGATTTACTTAAAAAAAAAAGGCTGTGAACAAGTTTTATTTACAACACACCACTAATCTCTCTCACTCTCGAGAAATACCTGCGACCACCCTTGGTTTCCGACCAATCTCCACCGAAGAACTTTTCCCGGCGTCTCACCTCCGTCAACCAACCTCAAGTTGCATCATTCTCCGACTACACACATCAAGCGACACCTTCTATTCGAGATATTACTGTTCATCCGAGAATCCTCCCAACCCTAGCTCGTGAAGAAGTGCTAATTCCGGCCAAATTTTCGTGTAAAGGTACCGTTTCCTACTTCAAATTGTCGTGTGGTTGATTGTTGTGGCGTGAGGAGGCCCACTTCGAGCTCGAATCATTTCAAATTGTTCAAAGCATCTTCACCTCCAACACCGCACACCAACTGTTCGACGAATTGCCCGAACCAAAAATCATGGGTAAAACAACCGGGGCTTCGAAGAAAAAGGCTCCCGCAGCGTCCACGTCCCGAGTGGTGGTCTCTACGAGCTCCGATACCGACCCGCCAACCGACAACCGGTCTCTTGCTCAACAACACGGGGTGCCTTTCGACGTCCAATCAATGGACGAGGTCATGGCTTATAAAAGGCTCGCCGGCAAACCGTTAGCGGCTCCACGCACCCTCGATTGGGATTACTTCGAGACCTTAGGAATTAAGGACGATCTCAGTCGATACATTACACTACTCGACCTCGTAGAGTTCGAAGACATGGAGCAATACACTTACCGGAACTTGACCCTTGAGTTCTTTAGCACGGTTTCCATGCACGACAACGGTAAGTACCTCACGGCTCGTCTAAAAGGGCAACAGTACAAGGTCACCGATGAAGTGCTCCGAGATATTTTCAAGTTCAAAGCCTCCATCGGGACTCGTCATAGCCCCATGGGATGGAAAGCCGACCCCTATTGGCCGACCATCTCAAAGTGCGAGAAATTCAAGAGAGCCGGGGCTTCTTCGGGCTTACTCTCCGATGTGGCTCACGCCGTGATCCACAAGTATATCTCCCATATGATATTCGCCAAGAAAGAGTCGAACAAAGTGAGTGAGCAGCAAGTGTTTATCATTTGGTCGATTTCGAGGGACAAGTCGGTTAGTATGCTGCAGTACCTTAAGGAGTCCCTCTTCGATGTGCGAAACGACCCGAGGCGTGGACCGACATTAGGGCATATCGTATCCAAGTTTGCCGAGCACTTTGGGATAGACGTTGATGAGCCCAAGATTCATTCTCGCACGATTTCGCACCGGGAGCTCTATCAGGGGCATTTCCTTAAGCCCGGCGGCGCTGTTCTTCCCGTCCGCGAGCGAGAGAGCTACAAAGCCTACTGTAGAGAGATGGGCATTCCTTTACCTGAGGACCAGTTGGCAGCCGGCACGTCAGTCGGACCAGCCCCAGCAGCCTCTCATGACGGAGATGATGAGGACTCGGCGGCCGACACACATCCCGAGCACGACACTTATCAGCCTCCCTTGTCGATGGACGGGCACCCGAGCACATTTTCACATCAGGCTCCCGCTTGGTTCTCCTCGTTCCAAGCTCGGTACGATGAGAACCAGGCCCAGAACGACGAGCAGTATCGAGCCATCCACGCCGAGGTGTCGTCGCACAATGTGCGACTCGAGTCCTACATAGAGCATCACGATGCGCGTTGGACGACTTACACAGAGCAGAATGCTGCCAATTGGCAGTCCTTAGTGGCGACCAACGACGCACGTTGGGCGGAGCAGCAGAGGGAGTGGAGAGAGTTCACGAGGATCCACAAAGAGCACTGGACTGCCCATGACAGCCGATGCGACACCTGAGAGGCACGGCAGTACCAGCATCCACCACCGCCACCACCGGACGCACAGTGACTTGTCACTGTGCTTCGTACGTTTTCTTTTTCTTTCCCTTTTATTTTTGTATAGCTTCTTTGTTTTCGAGTCGGTTTATTATATGGTCAAACTCTCATTCACTGCGAATCGACAATGGGGACATTGTCGGATTTTAAGTGTGGGGGAGTTTTGCGTGCTTATGTGACTATGTGGTAGACCAGGTCTAGTTTTCTTTTTAGGTTTGTTTTTATTTCTTTTCTCCTGCTTGGTGGACCGGTCTAGTTTTTAGGATTTTTCTTTTGTTTCGATTTTCTGAGCTTGGACTTTGGTGTATTGTAAGACTAGTTGATAATCGATTGATCAAGTTAAGGAATTGTGATTTTGAGAACGAGTGGCATATTTTGACTACTTTGCTTGGTTAGTTTGAATGACATTATCTACCTTGTGAGGCTTGAGCCATACTCGTTTTCTTGAGAGACGTTTG